ACACTATACATCATTGATCACATTCCTCTGTGGCTCCATAATCTCCTTGATCAGAAAATTTGGAGCACAACTGAGTTACAGGATGTTACAGTATAGGTTCTCCTAAGTCCCGAGTCTTCACTGACCTTGAAAGGCTAGGACCAAAATGTTGGCTGACCTTGCAGCCCTTCCTTCGAGTGGCCCTTGTTAATAACTCTTTCCATGCAATCATCCCTCCTCTTTCCTCTTCTCTACTGCTGGCATCAGAGTCCCAAAAGTCTATATGACCACTATTTCATCACTTAACCCTCTGAAGCCGTCTTATAGCCAAATAACAGGTTTGTCACCCCAATACTTTTTCTTGCAAAAACCTGTCTTCTAGATAGCAATTGGAGTCCTCTGCCTCGGAATGCTCTGCACAGTACTCTAAGAATTGCTCACTCAGCCCAGGCATGATACCTCCCACCTCCTTTGCGTACACCAAGATTCATTATTCTACTTTCCTACGGAGATATGCCACAAAAACCCAAAACATCCTAAAATGCATGTAAGTCAGGCACGGCAGCACACAACTGTAATGCTAGCACTTGAAAGACTGAGGCAGGAAGACCACTGCAAATTCAAAGCCAGCCAAGCTACACAGTGAATTTAAGGCCAGCTTGAATTACACAGTAAGACCCTAAAACACCACAAAACAAAACAAAAACTTGAAGCTTGAAAACTTTTTGTCTTTAGAGCCTTGCCTGGTGGCCCACATCTGCAATCCTAGCACTTGTGTGGCTGAGACAGGAGGATCTCCATGAGCTCAAGGCCAGCTGGGGCTGCATAAGGAACTTTAAGGCCAGCCTGCACTACATAGTAAAACTGCCTCAAAAGCAAAGAAATAGCTCAGTAGCAGAACATGTACCTAAGCAGCCTCACGGTCCTAGGTTTGATCCCTACCACTGCAGGGTGTAGGGATGGGGGGGGGGATATTATGAAGTTATACTAAAAAATGTATTTATGTATATTGTACCATCACAGTCACCAAGTCTTGAAAGGAACAATAATTTAGAAACCCGATATACTGTGGATGGGGCTGTAAAATATTTTAACTATCTCTCTTTGGAAGAGAGATATTATAAACACAAACTTCAAAGGATTTACAATCTGGCACTCTTAATTGTGGTTATTTCAGACACTTTCCACATCAGGGCTGGCAAGATAGCTCAGTAGTCTAAATTGCCTGCTTAGGCAAGCTTAGCCAGGTGCAGGAGAGCGTTGTTCAATCCCTGGCACCACATGCCCTGCCAGCCCTGCCCTCAAGGCAGGCTGAACCAGCCAAAAAAAAACAAAAAAAACAAAAACACTTTCAACATCATCAAAGTGGATTTTTTTTCCCCTGTATTTTAGGGAAGGGTCTACAGGGTATTCAAGGTCTCACTACTAGATCGGACTTGTGATTCTCCTGTTTACAGTCTTCCAAGTGCAGGGATTACAGGCGTGCCACCACATCCAGTCTCAAATGCCATCTCAGCATGCCTTGGGGGCAGGGCCAGCATGGCAGGTCCAGGGATTGAGCCCCGGCCCCTGCGCCTGCTTGCAGGCACTTTACAAAATGGATGCTTGAAATGAATAAATTTGATATAGTGAAAAAATATTGTAACTGCTATGGAAAACAGTGAACCCACTTCTGAGTATGTAGGCAAAATAACTGAAAGCAGGGTCTCTAAGGTAGAAGACACATTCCTGCACACTCACATTAACCGCAGCAACAGCCCGAGGGGCCAAGCAACTCAGGTCACCAATGGGTGGACGGAAAAACAAAATGTGGCAGATACATACAACGGACTACTGTTCTAGCTTAAAGGAAATCCTGTCACATGCAGCCCCATGGATAATCCTTGAAGACACTATGCTAAGGAAAACAAAGCAGTTACAAAAGGTCAAATACTACCTGACTATACCATATGAGGCATTTCAGTCAAATACAGAAACACAGAAGGTGAAATGGCTAACAGACTGGGGTAGAGGGTAGAAGGCATTTGTTGTCTAATGAGTACACAGTTCTGCAAAGTGCAAAGTTCTGCGGAAGATCTGTTTCACAATAATGGAGATATGCTTAACTCCACTGAAGTGTGCATTTAAGAATGATTAAGAATGTAACTTTTGGGGGAGCTGGTGAGATGGCTCAGTGGTCTAAAGCACCTACTTAGAACAAGCTTAGCAAAGCACAGGGACCACGGTTCAATCCCCAGCACCACTTGCC